GAATCGCATCTACCAAGAACGAGTACTACTTGACAGAAAGCGACCCCTCGCTCAAAAAAAATATCTCCGCAATCAGCCGCAACGTTTTCAGGAAAGCTCGATGGAGTGTGATGTCCCAACGCCACCACCCAAGCACTCGAGGCTAGCCAGTTGTCTCAAGCGTGGTCGGCAGGCCCTAGTTGCATCTATAGCTGGCCCTGAGGCTTGTACACCGTTGCTCGAAAGGAGGATGTATGACGGATAAACCCTCCAGCGGCAGTTTTCAACCAATTTTTTGGGTCTGGGAGGGAACATTCTTTTTGGAAGGAGGGCAAGTCCCACCATTGCGCATCCAAACGAACTCTAAAGACACCGAATAAGCATGCCATCCGCTATCGGCGCGAGGATGAGATGGGTTCCGCTAGGATGCGCGGTGAAAGCATATCCTGGTGCGTAGGAGAGAGCACGGGGCAAAGCAGTGAAAAAAATAACCGAGGAAGATGGGAAATGCACACACACGCACAGGATCTGACGTGCAGGCTAAACACAGCTCGCGAAACATGCTAGTGCCGAGCAACTGGCTAGATCTTCGTCGAGGATAGGCTTCTGGGCCAACATGTTGCTGTTTGTCTTTCTTATGTTCATCGCGCGGGCTGCATAGCTCATAGCTCGCTCCCCCCTTTCTAACAAGTAACCGGTCTGATGAAGTGTGATTGGTTTATATGGTTCTCTGAGAACTTCCATCTGGAAGATCCAGGACACTCTTCGAAATTTTTCCCTACAGGAAATTTGACCGATTGGCACCCCTTACAGTTAATTTGCTCTCTCTGTGTGATGGCAGTTACAGTGCTTACCGTCTCAAGCTAGAGGTAAAAAATCGTCTCTGACCGTTCGTGGGCAACATCACTGTGTCGAGCCTAGCAGGCAAGCTACATCTGAGTGTCCACCACCCTCAAAAACAACTAATTACGTCCAGAACACGACGACAAAAAACACAATAAAGAGTATATCTTCGAGCTAGTCCATTTCCCGCTGCTACCTTGGACGATACCTTGCATCGGAAACGTTGGGAACTCCTCTTCGCGGGTGTCCTTCTCCTTCGTGCACCACCAGCTCATGTAAGTCGATTTCGCACTGCACGACCGCGCAGCCTTCTGCAATTGATCGATGCCCTGGGTGGTACACGTAGCTTCTGGTGTCGCTGAAGTGCACCAACAACGGCATGTCATGCTCCTCGGCCATCGCCGCCATTCGCAGAAATCCGACAGACGGCTCTGTTCCAACTGCATCTCCTGCGCTGCCTTGTCAGCCAACGCGACGACTCCTCCGTTCTTGCCAAACACGACAGGCGTGGCGTCACGAATGCCAGCCCTCGAAACTGGGAGCGTCCCGCTTCCAACGACTACGATGGCGTGGTCACACCCGGCGACTGCCATTCACTGGACGTTTTCGGCGGGTTCCTGCGCGTGGGTGTTGCAAATCACGAAATCACGGCGAAAGAGTTTACACATAAGTTCAACCGCATAAATTCAACATAAAGCTTTGGCCGCACGCACAACTACCTACTACTAAACCTTATCATCTTCAACCGGCGTACCTTTATTTATTCATTCGGAAGTATTGGTAAAACGTACATCGCACAACCTCGTTCAGGAAAAGCGCTCGAATCCACGTTCTCGAATACATCGCCAGTGGAACGTCCCTGGATATACCTCCCTGAAGCGGTACCCTTCAGCGTCGGCATTTAATCGCAGCGAAAGAAAAACAACGGAACTTACTTGTGACACGAACATCCCGCCGCAGCTCGGCGAGTCGCAGAAGCAGCAGGTGAAGCGATGTTTGTCCATGTAAGTCAATTCATGCGCAATGTGGCAATGCCATCGTCGGTTACACTCGCCGCATATAGACCGAATTGTCTCCGTTCTCCCACAGCACCAGCTAGTTTTATTCAGAGATCAGCCATATGGGATGGAGATCGGGGTGGGCGCCCAGCTACCATTGCTGTCATCTTCCTCCTCGTCGTTACCACCGACTGCTGGGAGAGGTTGCTGTGGCACTACCCCACCGGCCGCGCCCCTTTCACCGAAAAATGCAGAGCCAGCTAAAGATAAAGCCAAACCTCCCGCTGCCCCTGATCGTTCCAAAGGCGCCACCCCCAGCTCCCACCCCCGCCGCTTCCATTCTCGAGTTCCAACGTTTCCGAGTTCCTCCGCTAACGCTGCCTGCCCAGCAGTAGAAGAGAGGGGCACAAGCGGCGGAGGCAGTCCAATCTCTGTGCCATTGGGCACGTCCCCAACGCCCCTGGTGCTTGAGATGCCGACACAGAAGCGGCAAGGCCGATGTGTGATGACGGCCGTTGATGACGTGGAGGAATCAGTGTGTCCTGCGACCTCGCCAGATGCGGCTAGTTGTGCAGCATAATCCACTGAGCGTACTGACTGTAAGCTCGGTGGATATGCTGTACAATCTCAACGATGTGCTCGTACTTTTGCGCGAGACCTGACAGACAGACCCGTGATGCGTCACGTTTGCTTCATCATGCCTCCGGGCGTCCTACAACGGTTCCGAGGCTCTGAACGCGCGCGGTGCCGGTGTACAGCTCCCCAGGGCGGAATGCTTTACGCACGCGTGCAGGACGCTGTGGCCCGGATCTGGCTCTGGAGGTAGTAGTAGCCAGTCCAGCAACAGCATGCGACACTGCGAGGCCATAAACAATCTACTCGCACAATATGTTCGGAACAAGAACGATATACCATCAGAAGCGAATACAACAATATGTAACTGAAAGGGGAAATAGCAGTTGTTCGGGAGGAGGAGGGGGGTGGGGTGGTGTTGGCGTCCAGAAAGCCTGACATTGCCCTCCGCGAGTGTCCCGCATTAGAATAGTATACATTAGCAGAAGACCTCGTCGATACAAATTTCTGTGCGTGTCAGCGGAACGCATGCTAGCTTGCTAGGTCGGCAACAACCGTACCTGGTGGATCGGAAGAAGCTGATGGTGGTGATGAAGCGCGAGGTCGTGTGCTTTGCGTGCAGAGCGCCCAGGAATCGCGCTTGCGAGAGCAGCGGGGGTGAAGAGAGTTGCTCCCAGCCAGACTGCGACCCTCACGTGCCTTGTATAACGCGCTATCCAAACGCGGCGCTTGTGGGGGTGTGTTCACAAGCTACGCTGCAGACCTGCAGGTCATTGTAGGCGTCCTGCCTGCTACACAACTCCCTTGCATTTTTTCATCATTCCCCTTGGAGAAGACCGGGCTATTGAGCCAGAGTGATAAAAAATGATACAAAAAAGTGACGGTATCAACACTAACAACAATCGCGCATCATCACCAAATAAAAAAACGCACCTTATACTTAACCAAAGCAGGTTAGTTCCGTTACAATCCAATTTTTTGTTCCGAATTTCCAAATATTTTCGCGCCAAATATTTGGAAATGAACGCCTCAAATTTATCCGTGCACCAGCTGGTGTTGCAAATTTTCCAAATTAATCTCGCCGCTTGTCTGGTGCCAACAAGCAACAAGCACGGCCCCGGTGGTCTAGTGGGTAGCCTCGCAGCCTGCTAAGGGCCAGGTGATGGGTTCCAGTCCCGGCAGAGAGAGTTTTTATCTCACTAAATAAATCCTGGTCTAGGATGAAAGCGACGCGCTGCAAAGCTAGTTTGTTAGTAAACCATAAGATCGACTTCGTAAGTCGCGAGGGAAAGGATTGCTGTACCCTTCTCGCGATAAAAATACCTCAGGCATGAACCGCAGGAGGGGGTCCAACCCCCCCCTCCTAGTGACCCCGGTAAGGGTCGTCTAGCTAGTAGAAGAGGAGGATAGGGGCCAGAGGGGCAGACGATAGAGTCCAATGATGGGAGAAAAAACAAAAAAACAAAAAAACAAAAACACACACACACACAACGGGCAGCAAGCACGATCCACAACCAAGATACCTGGCAGACGGCACAAAGGGACGGGGTACTGGTCGCCGGGTGGATGTTACCCTAGCCAGATACAGAGAGCAGGGCCTTCTCGGCGCTGCTGCCGGCGAAGGTTGAAGCGGCCGCGGCATATCTCTATCGCATCGTCGGCGCTACACACCCCTGTGGAGGGGGCGGCCGCCAGCCCTATCGTCGCCAAGGGAGCCGCTGCTGCCGCGAAGAGGAGAGAGGGCTCCAAACGCCGAGCGAAGGAGGACAACGCCCACCTCAAAAGGCCAAGAAAAAGCCGTCTAAAAACGCCGTCATCGTGAGGGGAATGGGGGAGGGACAGCGGGCTGTTCCTCAAAGGCGACTTTCGTCCCATTCAGCCATCTCGGTTCTAATCTTGCATTATTTCTTCCCAGAAAACCGACCGGTTCCAGCGCCGTGCTGTCGCCGCCTGCCGTCTCTGCTTCGGCTTCTCGAGATTTTTCGTGGCAGCTCGGAAAGATTTGAACAATGTGCCGAAAACCGCCAATTGTGCGATCCTGTCATCTACGATGTTCGCGATGAAGGTGCCGCGGCGGGGGCGGGTCCGGATGCTGGCCGAAATATCCGGATGCTGGCCGAAATATCCCGTCCCACCCAGCTTACACTTGCACGTGTGATGAAGCTGGTGCGCTGGTCAACTCTGTACACGAGGTGCTTTTCCCAGTGCAGCTGCAACACACAGACGCGCTCGCCGTCATGCCGTCAAGCCCCACTCGCGGCTGTACCGTATCATGCTGGAAAGGCAATTACTGTATTATCGTTGACAGCTTAGGCTTGCATGTGCGAGAGGGCTGGTGCGCTGATCGACCGCTGCTGGATGAATCGGTGAGATGACATCATCAGGACACAAACCTAAACTCATACCAGCACGTACTTCACCCAGTTCCACAACAACCGCACAAACAACGGAATTTGTTGTTCACGTGATTTACTGTCAAGTTAATACAACTGACCGTTGACGACGATGTTCTGCGAGTAATTAGTCAGAAGGATCTTCGGTAACGTGATCGTCTGCGTGTGTTGTCCTTCGTTGCCACTCCCTCCCGCCCTCCGTACCGTCACGAAGCCCTTCGTCACCACTCCCTCCCGTCCACAAGATGCTGTACTGGCATTTGAATGTCCTGCATGACGGGGCCGGTACCGTCGTGGTCAACAGCAAAGTTGCCAAGAGCGTGTACCAGAAGATCGTGCATAAAACGACGAAGCACGTCCAGCACAGCATGCAGGCGTCCATGCATGCCGACTACTTGGGGGGGGGCTTCAGCATAGGCATCAGCCCGAAGGCCTCCCAGGCACGCTCTACCTTGTCCGCTTCGGAAGATCAGCGGATTTTGGCCGAGCACATGACGTGGAACCAAACTGTTTCGTACACACTTGTGGATGGCCAGACGCTGGCGATGATTACGCTCATGGAATGCGACAAGATTAACAACAGTTACGGTGTAAGTGTACAAAACGTTGCTGTGTGAAAAGGGTCGCGAGCCTTACAACGCTTCATCGACGTATGCTTGCACAATTCCCCTCAGCGCACCGCTCACACCTGCGCGAACACAATTATGCTTTTATTTGAAAAACCCTTTACGTCCCGTCGTTCCATCTGACTCTTATGTTTTAGCCGCTCGGCAGTGTCGACGACGGGGATGAAGCTTGCTTTCACACGGTGCGCGAATCGCCCACGGTGTATTTGCTCACCCGTGGTCTAGTCGAAAATCTTCTAACGACCTTTCCAGGGTACGCGTTCGACACGTCGTGGGCGGCGCGGCTGGGCACGTGGGGTGTCAAGGCCAGTGTCCTGTCAACCAGTGCCATCGAGGATTCTACCACTTTGACAATATACTCCCGGCCTAAATTGATAGAGCATTCTGTAGGCAAAGTTAAAGGAAGATATTTGGACTGGGTCACAGTCCGGCCAGGCATGTTCATCAGCGTGCGCGCGGGGGGATTTGTCGATTCCATTAGTCTTGGCAACACAACGTGGGGCGGTGTCGGCGGTTTCACACGCTCGCTTCAACCTGAATGTGACGAAGTTATCACCACCATTGGCGGTAGGGCGGGTGATGTCCTCGACCGCGTGTACTTTGGCGTGTCACCAGAAAGAGGTCATGATAGTGAGATAAATCGAGGCATTGGTGGTGCAGGTGGAAAGGAATTTTGCTGGAACCCTGAGAAAGTCGGCCGAATTTACAGAATAAGTGCGGAATCTGGTTGGTGCAATGGATATAATGTCATCTCCAAGCTGAGAATTTTATCTACCATGTAAACTTCCAGGTTGTCAGCCCATGGGCAGGTCAATTCCCGGTGAGAGCATCCGCCACAACCCTCGAGGTTTTTTTTTGAATTTCATGCGAAGGATATTGAAGATATAGTACTTGATTGGTGGAGGTTTTCCTCCACGCCTGATAATATGGAGCACGTTGAGGTTTCATCCATCGATTATGGCTTTGATTTTACAATCGTTTTTGCCGGACGGACACTAGTATGACACATGACCAATAAGCTAATTACTTCGCTCGTTTGAAGGGATTTATTTGGGTGACTCCCATCATTTCTAAAGAATTGTCACTGTCCGCTGCATTACTCTTTCGGTTTCAAATGGATTGGTGATTCTTTTCAAGAATTTACCGTCAATATTTCTGATGTTTTGACGACTTGAGAATGTTTCTGAAAAGGTTTTTTACATAATCCTTTGGCTGATGTTCATACGGGGGGATTGCGAGTTGATGTCAAAAGGTCGAGGATATGTCTCGAGTTGAAATCACTCAAAAAGATGGAAGAAAACGTAGTGGGAAACAGACGAAAGTGGGTATATCCACGCCATTCATAGACGAAAGTTGATCGTTATACTGACGACATGTTCGGAAGAATGTTCTTCCGTGTGATGATGTGGACGTCAATTCCCGCTCGATTGCCGCTGTCCGTAAGTAGACACAAGTGGGTACAATTTGGACAAGAGGGGGTCAAAATACAGACATTCTCAGCCCGTGGTCACGAAAGTTTTAAGAGCCATCTGAGGATCTAAGGACATCCTGCACACACATAACGAGAAAAAGGTTTCCAAGAGCCCGAAGAGGTACACCAAAAAAAGCCCTGCAGCACCGTATGCGTGCCTTAAAACTGAACTGCACGTACGTCCGTTCCACCGTTCGACTACAGTGGTAGCATCACCCCCTCCCTGTCCCACTCTATACCAAGACGGAAGATTGCCGACTACAGCATGCTGCTGTCTGAAGTGCTGTCTGTACGAAAACACCATGGCAGGCATGGAACAAGCAGCTGGCGGGGCACAAAGCTGCTGTCTGAAGTGCTGTCAGAATGTGTCTGCGGACGTACAGTGAAAAAGAACAACCAACCAAAGCCATGATTGCCATGGACAATCACCCAAATCTCTCCCGATCGTCAGCGTCAGGCACGCAGTGAAAATATCGACAATAGCTAAGAATCGTTCCACATTGAAGGGGTCTTTCCACGATCAGGCACAAAACCAAGGCACCCGGGTAAGCCACGCCATCTCTGACGGGTCTCTCTACAAAACCAGTGACGACGTCATCACATAGAACCAACACCGAAAATCAGGAAAAAAACGAGAAAAATTGACAACACAGATCANAAAATATCGACAATAGCTAAGAATCGTTCCACATTGAAGGGGTCTTCCACGATCAGGCACATAACCAAGGCACCCGGGTTAGCCACGCCATCTCTGACGGGTCTCTCTACAAAACCAGTGACGACGTCATCACATAGAACTAACACCGAAAATCAGGAAAAAAACGAGAAAATTGACAACACAGATA